GTAGTACGAGCACTAGTACTAGTACTAGTAACTTACTAGTAGTCGTAGTCGTCGTCGTCGTCGTCAGTAGTAGCAGTAGCAGTAGCAGTGGCAGTAGCAGTAGCAGTAGCAGTAGCAGTACCAGTAGTGGTAGTAGTAGTAGTAGTAGTAGCAGTAGCAGTAGCAGTAGCAGTAGCAGTAGCAGTAGCAGTAGCAGTAGCAGTAGCAGTAGCAGTAGCAGTAGTAGCAGTAGCGGTTGCTTGAGGTTGTAGCCTTGTTGCTTCTAGCGCAGATCTTGTCCTGATTTGAATGTCCTCGATGCATCGGAAGCTCATGCATCGTCGGTAAAGATGCTTGCTGGGCTTCGACACGACGCAGCTCAAGCTCCTCGCTGCGTAAGACCGACTCTTGTTTCATTGCTTCTTCTTTTCGACGTTGATCAATAAGAGCTTGGTGCGACCGCTCCTTGGCACATTTCCTGTGACAATCACACACTGACTGAAGCACCTGATGATGCCGCAGCCGCTGACTCTTCAACATGTAGCAAAGAGCACGTGTCGTTCATTTCGATCATAGCTTTCTCAGCATTATGCACGCCTGCTCGAAGCGCAGATTCTCTCTTGTTCGCTCGTACAGTTCGTTCGCCATCTTCTCGTACTCTTTGGCCATATTGATCCCTTCACCTTGCAATTTCTCCTCTAAATCACGAGAGATTGTGCTGCTGCCTGATGTAGAAGACTCATTTGATGAGAAAGAACTCCAACTGCTCTTGATCTCGAAGGTGTCCCGCAGGAGCTTCACAATGCTGGATCTCTTCAAGGTGGAACTCCTTGGCTTTCGCATCAGCGAGCTCCACTTGCCTGCCTTGTGCTTGGGTGAATCCTGTGTCTGCGATAGACTGAACATTGTCTTAAGATCGATCAACACTTGCATTAGAGGAGCCACGTGTCCCCGCAGCGACGGACCCCGACATTGCTTGCTTGTCACTGAAGGACTCTCGAAACTGGCTCACCAAGGCAAGATAACTGCGAGGTTCTCGTTCCCTCGACCTAAATAGCGGGGAGCGATCTTCAATCTGCATTCCGCAGATCCAGTGATTACCCGTTCTCCCACGACTGGGGCTCGGTGTCAAAAGCCGAGTAAGGATTGCCCTACCAAAGACAAGACGGAAGGAGCAGCTGGTCAGAACAAATGATTCGCTGTCGACGAGAACTTCGGCGCCAGCTGAACAACTGTTTGCAAAGAGATCCAGCAAACCTCTCGAAAAGGGAGCTGGAGGAGATGATCGCTGTGGCGGAAACGGCTGGAGTAGACTTGTCTGGAATTTTGAGGAAAGAGCGGCCTAAGGAGCAAAGCAGGGTCACAAGGGAAGAGGGGGAAATTTATCTTCCTCCTCCTCCACCACCTCCGGTTCCAGAGGCATGCGCTGCTGATGACGAGTTCCTTCGGATCCTTCGGATCCTTCGGTGAGGCGAACGACTTGCTTCATGGCTTGTTGGATCCGAGGAAAGGCTGTCATCTTCTGTGTCGGCGCCGAGGCACGTCTCCTCTTCGAGAGAGGCACAAAAGTCGCCTATGTCCAACGCGATATTCAATATTCCAAAGAATGTGTATTTTACACCTCGCGGAACCCTGTGTGCCTGCTTCTACGAGATGCACTCTTCGACCAAGTTTCAGGAGCGAGATATGTGGGTAGTTCCCGGTCCTTTTCTGGGTCGCCATCATAATACGGCACCCTTAGAAACAGGACCCTAAGAATGTGCCAGAAGTGTCTGAGGTGTCAGAAAAACGAAATCGATGTTCGTGGCTGTCGCTGGCCATAATGAAGGTGGCAGCGAAGTTACCGCTAAGGAGCGGTGTAGATCTCTTGGACCCCCGTACTTACGTTTGTAAAGTGCATGAAGCCTCGGTGAAGCTAGGGAATCAAGAGACCTTGTGTCCTCCAGAAACCATGACGGGCAGAAGCCAGCTTGCTAGGCAAGCTGGCTTGTGATCGGCAAAAGCCAGTCTATCATGTAACGCATTGCAAGCATCGAAACAAGCGCATGAAGCTGAACGTGCTTTGCCCAGAAGCGCACGTTCAGAGTCACTGCTTGTATGATGGAAAAAACTTTGAGCTTGTTCTGAGTTTGCCATGGTTTCGCTTGTCTGCTAAATCTTGGGACAAAATTGACGCGTAGGAGAAGTTCGAGAAGCCCAGGGCCCAGGGCTTCTACATACTCCAACTCCAACTCTCACTCCTACTCCTCCTGCTACTGCTCCTGCTACTGCTACTGCTCCTGCTACTGCTACCATGAGTACTAGGACTGGGAGGAGGAGGAGGAGGAGGGGGGGAGGAGGAGGAGGAGCAGTAGTGGAAGTGGTACTACTGCTAGTTGGTAGCGCTCGTCGTCGTGGTGGTGGTAGTATAATAGAAGCAGCAGTTGTGGTAGGAGTGGCAGCAGCAATGGCAGCAGCAGCAGCAGCAGCAGCAGCGAGAGCAGTGTGAGCAGGAGCAGTGTCGTGTGTGTGTGTAAGTAAGTAAGTAAGTAAGTAAGTAAGTAAGTAAGTAAGTAAGTAAGTAAGTAAGTAAGTAAGTAAGTAAGTAAGTAAGTAACATACTGCTGGCGAAACTACTTTCACGGTTTATCTCGACCCAAGGTGCCACGGTTCGGCAAGCAAGACGGCTTGGCATCGAACTGCCCTCTTTGCAGTTACAGAGCTGAGGCGGTGCAAAAGATCTGGGCCCGGGCAATACTTTGGGGAGTTCACGAGCAGCAGCAACACTAGCCGTCGTCGTCGTAGTCGTAGCAGTGGTGGCAGCCCACAGCGGCAACAGCCATTTCCACTTCGAATGTTGTACAGCCTTGTGGTTGTGTAATGGTGAACCTACACCTGAGATGAGGTCTCTGGTTCTCTGCTGTCTTTCTCTCTTGAGCTTAGCTGGTCAATCCCGTGCTATGACCCGAGCATCCTGAAGGCGAACAACCAAGAGGCTACTAGCAGGCCTGGCGATCACCATTGCAAACGGTACTACCGTCTGTCTAGGTCTGCGGATCAGTGCCCTTGACAAAAGTTGCATCCTGCTAACCCCTGGAAAGCAAGAGCTTGTCGCCTGGTGGTTCATCACGCTCTCGAAGAACTGCTTGGCACAGTCCTTGCACCGTCAAAATTGAGGTGGTTGAGCTCCAATGGGCGCATCTGCTCACTTCAACACTCAAACGACAGCACCATGCGACACAGAAGGAAGAACCTGTTCTGGGGGATCTTCAGGAATTAAAACTCGAGCCCGCATGATGCAGCTCTGACATCGGTTTTGCAGGAGCGTGGGCATAAAAGCGACCAGTAAGCTGAAAAGGCTGACTGTGCCCCCACATCATGTCCCAGATGTCCGGACAAGCATGTTTCAGAACCAAACGAAGGATTGGGCGAGGTGACACCATGCGATAGCTTCCAATTGTGTCTGGATAAGATGGATCAACCGTGAGACCATCTCGCCGGGCTAGTCCGCTGGCGGACATGAGGACCCGAGAGGTGTGCTGAGTCATACACCACTGCCAAAACCGAATCACCAAGCAAGCGGTAACCGAAAGCTCAGATCCAACTCATGGTACACAAGAACTCTGGAAGACAGCGGACACCGAACGGATCGTCCCTTCAGCAGCTGCCAAGTAGTACCAGAAAGCGCTACAAACACACGGCTGAAATTCTATCACATACGGCATGGATCCTGGCCGGCAGCCGAGAACTGAGCTTCTCACCATCTTTCCACGCTTTGCGAAAACAATACCAATGCCGTTTGCTGCAAACTGGCAGTCCTGGAGGGCTTCGTTCACTTCCACAGCATGGCTGGGCTGCACAGCGGCATTAACGGAAAGACCTTCTTGGCATCCAGCGCTTTGAGGTAATAGGTCAATGCCTCCATTCAGTGTAAGTCGCAGGCTGTCATGTGGCTGGTGCCATTACGTTACGCCAGCCTTCTTCAAGTAGGTATCGATCATCTGCGGCGGTGTCTTGTGATGAGTTGAAGCCTGCCAGGTCCGCCAATGGGCCACACAGCACCTGAGTCGAACTCGCCTCGTAGCAAAGATTGCCGACAAAGACGTTGGCATACTGAGACTCATTGGCTTGTGCCCCTCTTGCCTGGGCCATGATGACAAACGACGCAGATGGAGTCCACGGTGCTATGCGCCAGGGCTAGGTCTGCGACCGCCTTCTCACCCCACTTGAGTGCTTCTTCGTATTTACCTGATGCACGGAGTGCCTGCCAGCAGAGTTGTCAAGACATGCAACCACGGGCCAAGATCTTGGCCTCAGAACAGAGAAGCTTGCCCAGAAAGGGGCTGTACTTGATCGCCTCTCCGGGGCTCTGCGGCCAACGGACAATGGATGAAAGCGATGGCTTCGTACCTGCTGAAAATTTCTCAAAGCCTCTTCCTTCTTGCCCACGCGCTGCCTAAGCTTGCAATGCGCGAGAATGTGTCTGGCAACTTCCCGATCCTGAGGCGCAGACCATAGCCCTCCAAGCTGCAGGAAAGCATCGGCAAACCACTTCACCTCCTCCGTCAGCGCCAAATACAATCGAACCGCCTGGCAATCTGCAATGGGAAATCTCAAAGCGTTTGCAACGAAGCTTCCTTCTATGCTAACTTGATAAGAACCATCTGGACCATGCACATGTAGTTATCAACATGACGAAAGAGTCAGATTGTTCTACAAAGCCTGGTTACGTGCAAGGATCATGCTGACCCCAAAGCCCAAAGCCCAAAGGTCTCAGCAGTTATGGGTTTCGTATCGAGACACGCCGCACCCATTCCTTCGCCCGAACGTGCCGCAGGCAACACTCGAACTACAGGGAAACGTGCAGCTGGTGCTTGATGTTGAGCCAACCTCCTATCGACGGAAATACTGCTCCTGCACCCAGTTTTGAGATTTCGAGCAGTGCATGCGACAACCCGAAACCCGGTCACACCTCCAAAGAACTAGACGGTTGGGTTCACGGCAGCATGGTGGGCGATGTTTTCAGTATCCTTCGTCTGTTCTTCTCTTGTTACAGTTTCTGCAGAACTCGAGCCGCATCCAGGGCCTTCAAACTCGAACACGGTCGGTTAAGCGTGATATAAGTTGTGATATTTGACTTCTTCCGGTCGCAAGCCTCCTTCCTATGAAGCTGGGGCAAGGAAGCCATCATTCGGCAAACACTGAAACTGCTACTTTGGGTCCCAATGGATACTGTCGGAAACTGCTGCAAATGGATGCTGCAGCAGTCAATGCGCAGGTCCAAGAAACTTCCCAACTTTAGGAATGAAAGCTCCAACTCGGCGGCTCGAAGCCAACATAGAGACATACGTGAGACGATGCGACGAAGGCCACCCCGACACGGGCCAGAATTCGTTCTCTCTACGAACGTGCATATTGACGGTAGGGGCGACATGGACACTTTCCGGCAGGTCCGAGACACACCAACCCGGTACTGGGATTTCGCGCTGGACCAGCTCAGCACGCCAGCTATTCGAGGAGGCTCTGTCGGATCTTCCTTGAGCAGGCAACCTGAAATTCACTTCATGATGCCCAGTGGCGTAATGATACGGATCTGCAAACCTTCCTGCAAATTTGGGTCCAAAAGCTTGCCCTCAGCCTCGCACAATGTGTCTGCGAAATCCTCAAACAGGCAGCTTGTCGCCACCGTCATATTTAAATACCCGAGATGTTTGAGATCTCTGCGCTGCTGTCGGAACATCTGTCCATACAGTAGATGCAGACGTCTTTCACAGCAAGCTAACCAAAACTAGTCAAGGAAAGCAATTCAAGGCTGCTTTTGCTTCGCCACACGCTTGTGAATTCACGATACTTACATTCGACAGCGGACAACACGTTTCTATGGCATGAGATACATGGAATGCATTCACAGCATGGCCGCTGCAAATGAGATCTTGAAATCAATAAACCTATCGGCTGTTGTCCGGGCATGTTGAGGTCTCCTTTCCTGTCCGAGAAGAAGGTTGATAACACCGGACTCAAGAGCCAATTTGAATCCGGCCGTTTCCAGCTGGGCGAGATCGCAGCACGGTCTTCTTGCGAACTGGCGAGGCTGTGACGGCGGTGGTGGCGGCGGGGCCGAGCCCTGCCCCGGCCCCGGCCGGCCCGTGCCATATACTCTGGAAGCGTTCATAAGTGAAACTCAGCACAAAATCTCCCTTGCCTCCTGCATCTCGCCTTCTTGCGGCTGGCTTTCTGCCAGCCAGGCCTTGTTGAAACGCATAGTGATCTCGGCCACACGCAGGTCCTCGCTCACGCACAGACTTAAGAGTAATTATGCCGGTGTGCTGCCGCAAGTGCCTTCTCGGACTGGCCAGCCTGAGCCTCTCCAAGCTGTTGCCTCGACATGTAGTGAAATGTAGTGTGTGTGTGTGTGAACACTTCATACATTTGCACCCTATCGCAGTGGCGGCATCAGGCTAGACATCTGGGTCCAGCTGCAGGGACTCGACGCGCTCCATGCCGCTATCATATGCCTTAAAGTACGAGTCTCAGAGCGTCTGGACATATTATGTCGTAAGAGGCCCGCCTCTTTGGCATCGGCTGGATCCCCATGCATAGCCCTGATCGTGCCTCAAGATCATCAACACTACTTTGAGTCCAAGGCTGCTGAGGAGTGGTCTCAACCGCAAGAGCAATTAGCAAGTCTGCAGACTGTTCCTGCCATGAGCCATGGATAGATTTGCAGCTCAGCAAATGAGCTCACCAAACTTGACACTGCTGCTCCGGAAAGCATGAGCGCCCGGCCAAGGTTATTCCACATTTGCGGAGTGACTTTCGCACGGGCTTCGGGGCTTGCCTGAACATAAAGCACATCCACAGCAATGATGTAGGAAGATGGTACATGCGTATTGATGCCTGCATCAGTTTCGCCATTCGTTCATACGAGTCAATCGTTACCTGCCAAGAAATATCTCCATTGATCCGGCTGGCGCAGATGGAATCTAGCAAACAAACACATACCGACTTTGGATCGTGAAGGGGGAGGCAGCATCCCAGCAGGGCACCAGGGAATTTCACCATTCAAGGAGAAACCATGCTCGTGCGGAGGAAGTGCGGGGGCGTGAGACGCGAGAGGGCGCAGAACATCAAAACACCCACACGCGACCAAGAGGAAAGAGTCCGGTGTCAGGACCCACGGATACTGCTGGAGAAACCATGTGCAGAAAGCAGCATGATTTGGCGTGACACCGAGCCAACTTGCTTGGCCTTTGGCTTAACGATCTTCTCGAGCCTGGAATAAGCCTGCTCCGCAACCGTGGATCAGCAGCATAAGCATTCAGAATGTACAGCTCCTGCGCGGCCGTGCCTCTGCTCGCATAGCCCAAGCCTGCGAGGCAAGCGGCATCTGGCAAGAGCAAAATTGCCGTTAGCTTTGCAACTAGCCTCGATATCTTCTGGACACATCGTGACCAAGGAGTCAGACACTGTTGCCGCCTGGAACTAACGATGTCTTCACGGAGATAGCAATGCAGAAACAACCGCAAACTTCTTCCGATTATGTTCAACACTCGATATTGGTGGATTCTCCTGGCGAATGGTGGCCGGAGCTGGCAAAACTGGAGCATGGCTCTGTAAAAAAAGTTGCATCTTTTGAAGATGCGTAGAGAGCCAAGGACGCAAGTTCAACGTTGCATGTTGGTCGCTGCTTCGCAGCCAGGCAACCTGTACAGTGGGCGACGCCCATTGATCAGCAAGGTGTCCGAGAACTGTCATAAAGGCTGCCATGGACCATTGCTCTCTTGTGGAGGCGCTCTGCACAAACATCTCATGGCCGTGGCCAGGCTCGCCAAGTGGCGACGGCACCAGGACGGGCATCAACCAGCTCGAATTGGCCCTTCGACGCTGCCATCCTGCACTCCAGAGAAACTGCTCCAAGTTGAATGCTACTTACGATGCACAAACGGACAAACCCTGTCCAGCCGAATGCCCTGCGCATTTCGATTTTCGTCTTCGGCCTCGGAGGAAAACTGAAGGAGGCAGTCACGAAGCAATGCAAACACATTTGGCAAGCTGCTTGCGCAGACACATAACATGTTGTGTTGTTTTATCTGATCAAAGTCGGCTTCTTTCTATCGTTGAATTCTGGGGTTATGGTTTAGGGTTAGAGTTTTTTCGGGGGGGACCTGTCTTCCTCCTGCACTAGGGCCTGAGACCAAAACAAAAAACTGCAAACCACCACCACCTAGACCCACAACTAGCAACAGACCTCGGTCCCTAGTCCCAGTAGGCAGCAAAGGCAGACTGTGGCTAGCTGGGGGTATTTCCCAGGATCTGCCCTGGGTAATTAGCTGCCTTTAAACCGGCCTACCGGCCCTGATGGGTTCGGTTTTTTGCTTTCCTTGCCTTGCCAGCGAGTTCCCTGGTTGGGGATGCCTGGCCAGCGGCTTTGCTGCAACCTTGCTTGGTTTCTCTGTTTGTGTGCACCGGCATCGATCGCAGGCTAGCAAGCGCTTGCGAGCCGGACATTCCGTTCCGTGCAGGAGGACTGCAACCTTCCTCTTGCGCTACCACGGCAGCGTCCCTCCCAAAGACCAAGCAAAGGCGCAGCAAGAGGCATGCTTCCGCCCTTGACAACACCGTCCATACTGGCCATGCACCATGTCGACCGCAAGGGTCCAGCACATGGATGTGGAAGTCGACAAGCTGCAGCAGGGACTGGTCGCTGTGGCATGCCACAATGGGCGGTGTCGGATCTGCAGCTCCTGCAGGGTCTCACTCCGATCAAGGGTCATCTGCCCGCTACGTGATTCTGGGTCACGACCTGGATACACGAGTGCATCAGGAAATCGACAATAAATTGTGAGTATGCCTGATCCTACGTCGACTTGCTGACGGGAACGCAAATGCCTTTGGCGTACATAGCTCTTCTGAGCATTTGTACAAATTTGGCCTCCGGCCTTGCTCCATCCCTTCTGGCCGCCGGGTGTGCGTGGAGAGGGCATTGGATTTCTGGACATTTCTGCGCGGTAAGTTTCAATTTTCTCTGCTGCCTTGCTAAGCGTACCTTGAGCCGTTCCGCTATGCAGAGGGGGGGGAATGCAAAGCTCCTCCCTCCTGTATCTCACCGTAGTGGATGGAGCCACTGCTCAGACTATTCAGCTTAGGATTGCTACGGCGGCAGGTCTGTCCAGCGGCTGGCAGCAGGGTTCGGCTGTTCGGCTCTACGCTCAGGATTTCTTGAAGGCCGTCAGGTGGCAGTTTTGTTTGGTCCCCGCATTGAGGAAATAGCCTTGGGATCCATGTCCGATCAGCTTCCTTGCTGACGAAAGGATGCATCTTACTGGTCTCCATCGGGATGCCGCTGGAGAGTACTCTTCCCAGTCTCCCGTCGCAACAACCCATCTTTACGCCTGTTGCCACCACTTGGGACTTTGTCTGGGCGCCGGTGGGCTTGCGGCTTGCGCGTGTCTCGCTCTGCTCAAGCCAAGCCACCTGTTGTGAAGGAGCTCTTTAGATCGGTTGAAGGACTTCGGGAAAGGTGCCTTTGCAGATGGTTCAGCTTGTCGGACCAGCTCCTTGTTCCTTCGTAAAGTGGTGCAAGAAGCCTCTCTTTCACCTGGCCAGAGGTCCATGTGGGCGCGGGCGGGACACGGCAGCATACGGGAGGCAAACACCAACGTCTTGATCATTTTCTCGTGTCCAGCGCGTGTGGAGGTTGTGGGATCGGTTTCCTGAACTTGATACCCTTCCGTAGCACAGCGAGAGGCTTTCAGGGAAGAGCCGGAGCGATGATCCGTGACCCCCCATGGTATCCCCCCCCTCACCCCCCGCCCCCTGCCGTGCAGGGCCAAGCAAGGGCTCTCATCCGAGCAAAGTCACAGGGATGGTGACCGCCTGCCTCCTCTTTCTTCCCAGTAACTGTCGAGGTTTTTTTGGAACTATCGCGCAACCTTCGCAACTTTGTGGCCGTGAATCGCCCAGCGCCCATCCCCAGATGAGAATGATGGCGATGATGTTGTCGACATCTGTGCACAATGACGGATGTGTTTCTTGCATGCTGGTCTGTTAGTTCCACTGATCTTACGCGGTTCTGGTCTTGAGTACCGCATGTTCTTTGCTTTTTCTTATTTGAACAGCTTGCCTGGCCGAAGCTTGTGTCGACCGTTGTCAATCTATGTTACGTTTCGCTCCGGTTCGTTAAACGTAAGGCTGAGCGTGCGGTTGAATGACTTTCACTAGCAAGCGACCGCAAGAGAGTGCCGATGGTGATCATGATCACCAACTTCCTTATCATCCTCATAATGATCATCACTATCATTGGCTTTGCACTTCAGGGCGGGTCGCCGCTCAGTGGAACACTATCATATCCAGAGGCCCAAACCCCAAGCGCGTATATCTACATGACACTGTGCGTAGATAGAGTTAAACTACGTAATTATGGAATTAGGTACAAACAAAGATATAGCCAGAGCAAAAGCAGACATAGACATGGCAAGATCTGGACATAGAAAAACATATAGCCATATAGACATAGACACGACATGGAAATAGACACAGACACAGACATAGACATAGGTACGGTGTACAAATGCGCGCAATTGACCAAGCTAAACATCAGAAACTTTTTGTTCTGAGCAGCAGGAATCAAAGCTGCATGGCTGGTGCCGCGAGAGCAGCACATGTGACTCCTTGGCTGCAGCTGGATTCCAGGACAGCTGGGCCAATGCAGATAAGCCTGTCTCCATAATTATTGCATCCGGGTCACAGGAAAAACTCGGAGAAGCCTGACATCGCCAGATGGTGATGCAAGCTGGAAAATCGGACAAGAGGAAGGATTGCCTGTAAAACCGACTCTGCAGTCAGTCCGTGAGCGAGTGAGGGAGGAGTTAAGGGGACCTTGTTCGTTCCGGTGCAACATGGGCTGGGGCCAAGAATTGAAGCAGTGTGCAGAGGAACGGGAGCAAGTGACAAGGAGGTGAAAGCGAGGCAAGCAACTGCCCTCCTGCCAAGGCATGGGACGAAGGAGCGAGGTTGCCACGGCGGAACGGAGCGGAGAAAAGAAAATGACGGAAAGAAGCAGGGCGGAAGGGAGGAGGGAGCCGTCTTCGTGTCACTCACCTAGACAAGGCCGCCAAGCTCCAGCAAGCGCCGTTGGGTTAGGTTCAGAGGGTTGGTCTTGAGGATTTGCACTTTGCTTGACAGAGAGCTCAAGCTCAAAGAAAGACATCGAGTTCTTCGCCGAAGAATCATTCGTTTGCTTGCTCCGTCTTTCCTGCATGGCGTGCCTGGCATCTCTGACTCAAGTTCTTGCTCGGCTCGCGGCTTTCGTTTCTCTTGCAGTTAACTGCGGAGTAGCACGCTGCGAAGCAAGGTCTGATCAGTGCCGAGTGGCTCGGATAAGCAGCACGCTTCGGACCTGGGGTTGAACATTGATTCGGAGTCGTGCGAGGTTGCCGAAAAGATCTGAATCTCTAAGGTCTGTCTTGCTTGGCCCGAGACTGGCCCGCCTGTTTTTGCTGTCTTCATCCTCCTTCGTTGGAAGAGCGGACTATGAGATTTTACACTTCCGCAGCTTCTGAGCATTTCTGCACACTTCTGCACCACATGGCCCCAATCCAGTCTCAGCTGAGCACTGCCACGGAGAGGTGTGTGGAAGTAGATGAAACAATGAATGAAAAGACACTCAACTCATGTCACGCGTGCTCTGCGATTCAGCTTGAGGAGTTGGGATTAGGGGGACCCTTGGGGACATAGACCCTCTCAATAAGGTCCCATTTTAGAGAGCCATAAGTAGGGTTAAGAACTGTCCGCTTTAAGGGGTCTCCCTCATACTACCTAGAAAGCTTGACTCTATCGGCACAGGATAGCAAAGAAACAGTGGATTCCTTCTTTGCGACTTGGCCAGTTTGCAAGGTTGGTTACAGGAAGCATCATGTCACAATATGTCACAGGATCAGGAGTATTGCATGGTTGTCCCCGACGCGATTCGGACAAACGCCTGAATATGGACAACTGAAAATCCCCGCATCTGACACTATCGCCGATGATGGCAAGCATGCTTGGATCCAATGAGAGCACCGCACTCTCATGCTTCTGAATGTCCTTCGCGCGCAACTTGCGGCGCTCCTCCGAAAGCTCGTCGCGCAACTCCTGCAACTAAAGCTGCGGGGCCCACATAAACTCAGTCATCGACGCAGGAGGGTGCGCATCAGCATCACATGCTGCTCCAACATGCACAGGCTTTCGACGTCCTGCACTTCCTGCAAAAATTCTGAATGCCTTCGTGCTGCTTTCACCGACATGGCTTCAACATCCTGCCAAGAAGCTTCACAAGAAAGCTAAAGCAATTGAGAGGGTGAGAATACGTGGTGTGCTGGCTCTGCACTTCATAGCATCCTTGGCTTGCTCAATGTGAGCTCGGCTTGCTTGCAGCAGCTCTGCGCGAGCTGTGTCAGCCATGCCCTGTGCCTTGGTCTGCAGCTGTCTGGAGAAGGCTTAACATGGTACTGTGGAGACAAGAGATTTGTGATTGTTCGAAGGTTTCAGCTCACCAACGAGGCCGTGTAGGGAACGGAACCACGGTCCCTCCAAAACGCCTATCATACACCTTATATAGCCGCATATAGCCTTCTCAAAGGCCTTCTCACGTGGTAGTTCTGACAGGCATGGCATCAAGCTGTACATTGGGCGAGAAGCGTTGCGCCAATCTTCTTGCAAAGATTCACATCTCTGGCGTTCCTTGACGAGGCATACGACCACACAATTTCGGTGAACGCTGTCAGGCACATCATTTGCAATCAAGCCCACTGCCTGCCGCAAGCTGCTCTCTAACCGACTGACTTCCTCAGCTTTGGAGAACGACAGCTGCTGTTCGACCTGAGAAGCCGCAAAATGGATGCGAGCTCCAAGTGATGTTTGGCAGCAAAGGGCCCCCACACTGAGCTCTTGCCTGAGCTTAGTCATTTCTGCTTGTGCAACTTCCTGCCTCAACATCGGCCACGGCTGCCACGGCTGCGCAGAAACCAAACAGCACGGTGTGCCTTTGAAGCTCGGCATCCGCACTGCTCAGCGCCTCTCAAACGAGAGCAAAGAATCGGCTCAAGCTCTACTGGGAAGGAGGATGCGGCTGGAAGCACCGACAAAGCCAACAACCCGCTTGTCAGGAGTGGAAGGACACTTGTTCACGATGTCAGAAACGTCGGTAACAGTATGTTCCACTTGCATGCACACGGAACGCCTCCGATTTGGCTTTGAGATCTTCCTCAGCCTTCCTCAAGGCGGCCGCAAACTGATCCTTGTGGGCCAAGGTATGCAAAAGCAATGCCCTGAAATTTAATCGGCCACGGTCTGAGACATAGCCGTCAGAACCAAGCCAAGACTCCGAGGCCTTCTTTGCCTCCGCAGCTGTTTCTTCGGATTTTTCGAGCTTGTCGAGCATCTCAGAGCACTGCCTCCAGTACGTGCGGAAGGCCAGCGCTGGAATCCCTGACCGGCCTGACCTTTCAATCTCGAGTCCTGCTAAACTGTTATCAGCCGTCACGGTTGGTGGGGCTGTGGCGCAGCCAGGGAGAGTGACGTGGGCTGCCGCCCGAACTGGCCATTTAGCTTTCCGAGAAGTCTTCAGGAAACCCTTAAAAAGCCTTTACTACCTTTAGTTTCATCTTCCGAATTCCCTCAGCCTCTGAAGTCTTTCTACCTCCGGTGTGGCCTTTGCCCATGCGACTCCTGAGTTTCCAGAATCCTACCCAAGAGCACACATTGGCTCACGTCCCTGAGAGATCCTGTCACGAACGCCAGAAAATGCCTAGCAAGATCCCGAGCCTTTCGGATGCCAGCTGGGCATCCTGCAGGCCTGGGATTAGCCCAAGTGACCAACACCAAGATGAGAAAGCTCTGACGAAAGCTGGGGCTGGTGCTGGTCTTACACTCCTCGCGGCCGCTTTGCATAGCATGCATGAGCTGGTGGACCTCATCCAACGCTGTTGTCGACGCTCGCCGGGCCGCATCCAATTCGGATGTCCTGAAATGTTTACGTAATGTCAAGGAATTAAAGATGTACTGGTCTCAGTCTGCACTAGTCACTAGTCTCGCAGTCTCTCGCAGTAACATCATCTTGCCCACATCGTAGAACCCGCTTCAGACAAAGATAGGCAGCCAGGAGTCATCTGCGAGACACGCCTGTCTTGTGCTGCCTTTTCACTCTGCATCTCGAGCAACTCCTTTCCGAGATTTCGGCTGGACGTGAAGCAGTGCACACCCATTTCTACAGCCAGAGGCTAGCTTCTGCTTGAAGACGGCCCAGCCTGGAGAGGGTTCACTGCCAGAGAGCCGCGCTTGGGACTTGAGGATCCGGTCACAGCAACACTTTCCCGCTTCACGTCCTTGCCCCGAGGCACTCCCCAAAGCTGACATGGGATTGTCCTTAATCCAAGTCGCGTGACCAGACCCAAGCTTGCCTCGGACCGACATACAACATGCAGCGTACTAGCTAAATGTCAGCTTGCGCCTGATGCCAAACTCTTCCTCCGGAGCAAAATCCGTCCATTCGCATCGGTTGCCTGCGACGGGCTTGAAAAGCACGGCATGCAGCAAACACCGGCCAGGGAGTTGATTGAATGTGCAGGCGTGCTCACTTCTTCGGGCATCCTGGCATGCTGCATCGATGGTTCGCTCTGTGGTGTACTGAATCAGTGCACTGCATAACTCGCAAGCGCATGCAAGCGCCTGGACTATGTTTTGTGGTCGAACGAAAAGACCATGTTGAGGCGCGCAGTTGAAGTACTGTTTATCCTGCTGCAGCAACTCATTTGACAACGACTGCAGCAAGAGTAGCAGCATCTGCCTTCACTGATCCGTCATTCTTTCCATATGGGCCATCAAGTATAACACCAACCCAGTTGCCCGGAGCAAACTCCGTCTCCCCAGCGAAACCAACCTGACAGACACTTTGTGACTAAAGATCAGTCTGCACGCCAATTCTCAGAAGGGCCACCTTTCCCTCCAGCGTCTGGCCAGCCAGGGTGAACACAATGCGAGTACTCAACGCAGGCAACTGAGCCTGTGCCTGGCAGGTTCAATGAAGGCTAGCTTGTTGGTGAAGCATCGCGTGGAATCGACTTTTCTACTTTTCACCCAGCCCTGCCACGGTGATTTCTGCAAGGCCTTCAAGGCGTCATCGGAACTTTGACCTCCTGGAAATGGAAATGACAGTGTGGCAAGGTGTGGCAGACCTCCAGCTCGTCAACAGAGCTCAGTCCTTGCGCCATTCCGCAGACATGCAGGCCCAGGAATGCAGCTGCGTGTTGGGAAGGCTTCCGAAGCTCTTATTTGGCTTGCATTTTTCGCGGACAAGGTGGTTCTTGCAGTCGCAACTTGCGTGGGATTTGTGATCTCATGCTGAGCCAAGCTGATTCGGCCAGTCCCAAGGTTCGCGCAGCAAAGCCCGTGTCAGACATGACAAGAAGACACCCAGCGAGAAACTTGGTTCAAATGCCCAGGTCAGCAGAGGTTCCTAATGGGTCACTTCGTGCCTTGTTGGAGCGTTCCCATCGGTTTGAAGCCGCACGTGAAAGATTGCGTGTGGGATTCTGGGGCAACACGGGACGCGACCTCTGCACGGCAGGCAGCATTGGGATTTTGGGTTGGGTTTCTCATGGTTTCTAGGAAGTGCACAAAGGAAGTAAACGGACATTGGCAACCCGAAGTTCTGACATGACCTTCAACACCAGCAACGGCACATAACGGCCCACTTCACCTCTTGTGATACCCTGCCTGCTTGTCGTGCTCTCCTGTTGCCAGGTAGGCGGCCGTCAACAACTTTTTGACCTCCATAAGATCAATGTCAGTTCATGTGCAGTGGCCGGGCATGTGACTGGAACAGATGCCTCTGGCTCTTTGCGAAGCTGTGGCGGTGCCTCGCATGTCAAACAAAGCCCACATTCAACAAACCCCAAAATCAAAAAGACTGTGCTAGAACCTGCAAAGTGGCACCGTGCGACCACGGCGTCAATGAAGCGTTCTCGACATTTGACTCAAAACTGGCAACAGCTTTAAATCCTTGTCGGTACGTCCCTGATGGACTTCTCTGATCTTTCCGCGCGTGCTGCAGAATCGAATCTTGTCTTCAGGTCAAGTTTCAGCTGTGGGTTTTGTTTTCCATGCAAACTCGAATTCTATCTTCACGAATCCGTCTTCGAATGGCGTCGTCGGAACCATGTATTGTCTGCCGTTGTGTTGCTTGTCGTGTTTCGGAGTCAGGCTGTCCCCCGCCAACCCCTTCAGCCTTGTCGGCGGAGATTCGGATTTCGGCGAGTGCTTCTTTGGTGCCATCTGCGTCTCTTGCGCGGATCGGAGGAAGCTGTACTTCAAACCCATGCTCCCGGATTCCATCGGATTCCCATGTCAACGAATTCGGAAGATATCGGCTGGTCAGGAAAGTGCACTTCTGCCCCCGTTGCGGTGACTTTCCTTGGAAGTCGGAGCCTTCGGAAATGCATTGATTTTGCAGGACTCGGAGAAACGCGGGATGCACTTGGCTCGAAGCTTCTCAACGTCGGAACGCCTGCCTTCTCGAGGACCGTCACGGCTTGTGAAAAGTATCGCTCGTGCACCAAGCACTGCGCAAAGACATACACCTGTGAGAGTCTCTGAGGCTGTGCAAGCAGAGATTCAAAGGCCAAGAAATGTTGAAGCCGTTCCAAGCCCCGCGCCCCTGCAAGATGATCGGGATTAATCTGGACGCATTGCTTGTACAGTTCTCTAGCCTCCCCGAGATGATGGAGCGCCTTTCCCTCAACAATCGTGCGGCCAGCTGCATCTCACATGCCGGATCCCTGCCGCCTCGCTGAAACGCCCTTGGGCATGTTCCATTCTTCCAAGTTGGTATTGGACCTCAAGAACGTGCCAACGGAACAAGTCACAGTGGATTGATGCGTGCTGCATCCGAGGCCATTGCTTCAGCGACGACCTGTGGCACGTCGCTGTTGTCCAAAGCCCTGTCACAGAACGCTCAATGCTCAGCAATAATTCCTCATGTCCACTCTACAAGCCCGCAAGACCAGCAACACCCGAAATACCCTACCAGAACATGGGTCAATTTCATCGCTGGGCTGCAATGGGCCGCTTGCAATTCATTGGGGTCCTGCATGCTAAATTGGCATGTTCGCAAATAGACGCGCACACCTCTTGTTCGCCTTCTTGTTACCAGTTTGACTGCAAAATCTCTGAAAACTAAGGTGTTTGCTTGCCGCCGCAGCTGATGTGTCGATTTTGCTGCGGTCTCGGTAAGGGTCTGCGGGTGCATGCCAGTAATCTGGCTCCGTGGCCCATGGGCCGCATATGCCGCATGGAGCCTCTTATGACACCGAGTCGACTTTCAAAGTGGTAAGCTGCTGCAGGGTTTTGGCGAAGGCCCTGGTAGAGTGGCGCGTGCCCACCGTGTTCGCGGAGCAAAACTAGCCGGTGAAAGTGTCGAGCCTCAAGTCTCTTCGGCTTCTCGGCCCCAAACAACAATTCAACCGGCCAGCAAAACCAAGGGATCCAAGTAACATTAGGTCCATTAGGTGCAATGGAACGCACGATGCATATTTCACATGCAATGATTCCAGTGAATCCTCACCACAACAGTTCCCACAATCCTGCCTTTGGAGCAGTTTCTTTGCCAGCTTCCAAGCATCAGGTAAAGCCTGGTCAAGCCATGCAAAAACACTTGCTTGCTGACAGCACGAATGCCCACCTGGTGGCCACTCACGTTGCGGACTAACCCCCTAATTGAACTCTTTGCAGAAGGCAAGCCGCCTCACGCAACTCTAGTTCGCTCAGTTTTGTGAAATGCACTTCCACCAGCACCACCAGCATCACCACCACCGACCCCGGTGAGAGTACCACCAGCAAGACCATGGGCAAGTGGCACCAGTACTGATGCCACCCTGCCACAGCAACCGGTCATACTGCGAGATTTCACAGGGCCCATGCATGCAGGCTGGCTTACAAGTGGCCGGGTCCATTCGTGAACCATAACGGCGGAGCAACGAAGCTTGAACACAACCTTTCAGCGTGGGGCAAGGGCCTTGCCGGTCAGTGCTTCCTACGGACTGATAAGCTTGATCTAAACCTTTCCCTGGTCCTTGTAGTTGGCACACTCCGGAACGTTTTATGGAGTTTCGTCCTGCTTGGGGACGTCCAGATTTTGTTCCTCGTCCAGAAATGTCTAGGCGACGTGCAGCTCTTCATGCCAAGGAGTCGAGTGGTCCAAGGTCGTGTGCCCGCGAAGAGCATCCACCCTCAAACAGCCACGAATACTCAGACTCGCGCGTGCGATTTAGACGCATCCTGCTACTGTGCACAAGTGCTTGTCTTCATCGTGTCATGACCACCTGATTCTGCACGGGCCTCACTTTCTGCAGTAAGTTGGTGTGCCCAAAGTGTCACGCCCGCGCAGAACGAAGGACAGCTGGCAATGTCGCCGATGGTGCCTCTGCTCTCTGAGACATTCGTGTCGTATGAAAATGCGGCCGTTCCGAGGGCATGCTTGAAGGCACAGAAAACGTGGGAAGCCGTATGTTCATCCAATCCGTTCGGTACCTTTCTGCAACAACTGTGACTGCATGAAGCTTGAACACGACCCGTCTACATGGTGCTTTGGTTGGCCTTGCCGGCACGTGCTTCCTGCCAAATTGCGGCTGTGCTCTCAAAGCATAGTTGCATAGTCTTCCAGCATGGCCCACATGGCCCCTCCTGCAGACCACAACTAAACGAATGGTCAGCAGCTCGACATAAGACCTAAGTGCACCACGCAGCCCACCATGATGACAACGGCTATGACAAGCATGATGTACATGATAAGCCTCAAGGTAGAATCACTGAGCCGGCAACTGCAGGGTGAGTCCTTTGCTGTCAGCAAGCGCTTAGGGCGCATCACTTTTCAATGATGTCACAAAAACCTCAAAGCTCACTCGGACAAAGTTGGCAAAGCTGTTTCGCAGGGTCCGGCTTAATGCTCCGGCAGCTCGCATAAAACGTATCAACCAGATGACACTGGCTAACCAACTTTCCAAAAATTTGGATTCAACATGTGCCTGGCTGTTGGTTTCATGGTGTTTTTGCAAAATGCTGGGGTCGGCAATTGTTGTCCGCAACTGTGGTTGTGCAGTTGTTGGATTGACGCGTCTCTTCCCGCAAACCCGCCTAACTTCCACTGGGGAGATTTGCTGGCCAGGACCGGGTTGAAGTTTAGATCGCCTCAACGTGTGCCCAACGGTGCCCAACGCACAGCACGAAGGTGCGTTTGAGCACCATGTTGCCCGTAAGCCCACAGGCAGCTCGCTGCAACCCCAACCTCCTAAAACTCAGCCCATCTGAAATCAGCGGAGAACCTGCTCACACTTGATCTGATGCCAAGTGCCACATACTGGCCAATGTATACCTCTGAAATTTTACCTTCCAACGCCGACACTGTCCAATATGTGTCCTAGATGCTCCTGGTTGCCCACTGGGGTTAATTCTGATCCAATGTCTCGCTTCGTGCTTTCCGCCAAGAAACCGCTGCCAGACGAATTGTCTGCACAACTGCCAGATTCAAGACTTCGAATCGCAATTGCCTGAACTGAGTGGTTGGCTGTGCGGCCAAGACGTGCGAGCGCACTCCGAATCTGTACGACACTGGAGTTCCCAAATCGGAACTGCCCAATGCATGACTTGAGGAAGGATGAAAGATCGTGCACTCAGCATGAACTCGCGAAACACCCCATGAAAGAACGTTTTGTTTTGTTCGCTATGCACACTATGTATGACGTTGATTGATGCGCGACGGAGAAATGCCGCACCTGTATAGCTGTCCTGCCAGCCTCTATTGCCACGGGTTCTTGTTGCAGGAGGAACTCACGGTCCGAAGACATTGTTGGATTGTGATATTCCAACATTCAATGCCTTGGCCGTAGCGAGGAGATGCCAAGCTCGTTGCACAGAACGACTGGAAAGACTCGTGGATGAGGCACATGGGCTGTGTCCGCATCTCAAGATCGCTATTGCACACGAATCGTGAAATCCATGGAAACCATAAGTTTGTATTGGACTCCATCCAGAAGGTCGCTTGCGAAAAGCGAGCCGCGAAAACCTAGCGATAACTTGGTCCCACTCAGTGAGCAAATTGCGGAGCGCGATGATCGAGACGCCATCGCTCGCTGAGTTACAAGGAGAAAATGGAGAAACGACGGTCGTCTCGCAACCTGCTCGGTGGAAACTTGTTCTTGGGATCCGGACTTCGTGCAGATGGCAACTGCCTAGGGGGTGGGTGATGCCCCCGCGACTATGGTGCTGACGGCGATCGTGCCGACGTGCACCCAAGTCTTGATGGCATGACAGCCTCAGCCATCCATTGCTTGGCACAGGCTGGCACTGCGCGAAAGTGGTTGACCCTCGACCCAACCTGCAAAAGGTATCAAGTTGTTACACCTCCTCGCGCTGGCGAAAGCCCAGGCCCAGACTGTTCACACCGAGCCGCAAGAGCTTTTGTTTGCAATACACAACAAAGCCGCCACACCAACATAAGGACAACTAAGCGCAATCCTGCACCGACGCATGCGAGATGGCTCTTCCGAGGAAGTCCTTCTTCATCGGTGCGGCTGTTGGGCTGCGCCCATCCACTCGCGACCGTGCATGAAGTCCGTGGGGCCCGATAGCCGCTCTGACCAAAAGTAGGGGCTTCAGCGTGTCGAGATAAGCCTTGACAATCCCACATCTTTCGAGGGTTGCTTGTGCGACAGCCTACCGAGTCAGGCTGTCTGTCTGTTTTCCGATCTCCGGCTTGTCCCATGTTTTTCAGTTGTGCTCGTTGAGTTCATTCTGCGTATTGAGCACTCCACTTGATTTCTTTCCACATACTTTTTGTTCTGCGCCTTCTGAAATATGCCGTTTGCTACTGAGCCTGTTTCTTGCTGTTGTAGTCTCTGCTTTGTTTTATGTACATGGTGCTGTTTGTGTACTGTCCACGTCGGGCCATGTCATTGCTGCTTCAACCAACTAAGATGTTGTGTCCTTTGCCGAGCTTGCTGGCGAAACGAGGACCTGTCAGGTCTGATGTACTGGTCTCTCCCAAGGTGTCTCCCCGAACATGACTTCATCGGCAACTCGGCTAAGCTGCTAGATCAGTTTGCGCCCCGTTTGGAAACACGCCCATGCTGCTCTGAACGGAACCACGGGTGGCCCAGGCCTGCCCCGCGGTAAGCCACGTGTTTACAATACTGTGGGCTTGATGGGCTTGCGTCGTTTTCTAATTCGCTTCGTGTGACATATTCGCAGGCTACATTTCTGTCTGAAATTTAAGTCGAATACGACCAAGTAGCGGATCGGCATTCATGGCCTGTGCCATTTTTTCAGCAGCACGTTGCTTTGCTTCGTTGCCCTGTCATTGCAGAATCACTCTTGAACCCATCTGTCCGTCACTATCTGAAGTGCGGCCACATGTGCTTGCATTCATGCATTCCCTCATACAAAAACGGCAGCAAGAGACGAGGCATCCAAAAACCCTGCCTTGCCCGTCTTGGACTCCAAGTAGGCCAGGGCACACAAGGCTTCGACGTCCTTTGCGTCGGCAGCCACCTAAACAGCAGTCATTAGCTGTCACGCGTCCACAACCATCAGGGCTCGCACAACGGGCAGCGCTGTGGAAAACCAAAATTTGCTAGTGCACCCACACAGCAGTTGGCATCATGTTAGTTTTCAGAAACTCGTTTTGGAAAAATCTGCATTGTACAAAGCCTTGACAGACCTGTCCGTCTGCTAACATGCTGTTGCTTTATGATGCCGAACTGCACAGGAAGCCTGTTTTCTTCATTGTCAGCCTCAAGCCCTCAAGCTCCAGACACTGGGCCAACAGCTTAGAAACTTCATAGGCTTCTTGCACCATCTACTATTCATCGAAATGAAAGACATCAACACCAAGAGGTGCAGAAATAGCGATGGATGATGGAGTGGTACGACGAAAGTTTACATACAAGGGCTTTTCAGCAAGCATCGAAGTCTACATGTAAATCCGTGCTCCTGGCTCAGTCTGTGAATGTGAAGAGCCGAGATGTGACGACATAACGACGCAGCTAGCTGGCGGGCCAGACAGCTGACTGTCCAAGAACTAAGTTATTGAAGTTGCGATGTTGATTGGGTTCAAAAGTGATCAAGGTCCCTCATTGTTGTCCGTTGCCTGTATCGTAGTCTGAGAGCAGGACAACACTCCCGACATCCGGTACACTTGGTTGCATGTTCAGGGACCTATCCGGGCGATGATCGCGAAACTGATTGGTCTTGAATGGTCCGTTCCGCCTCTTTCTTGTTGGATTGATGATCTTGGGGAAGTGTTCAGTTGCGTTTTGGATGATACCTACCTATCTGTAGACAACAAGCGAAACAACTTGCTGCCAGTCTGAAACCCCCCTCGACTGCAAGAAGCCTTTGTTGCTGCAGAGGTCACGACACGCTCCAGCATGTGCATACAAGCGCCTGATGAGCGTGCCTGCTTGATCCAATGGTGCAGCGCACCCTGGATTAGCCCATGCCATGCAAGTATGCGCTTGTCGAGCGACTCGAGAGGATCCTGACGACATGTTTCAGAATTGGTTGTGGTCTTGAAACAACGAAACAACTGGGATTCACCTCCTGATTTGCAGTTGCACTTTGACAAACCGGAGCAGGTTTTGGGCATTTTGGTGTCAATTGGTGTTGTCTCCCGCATGAACGGACTTGCCCACCCTTGGACGAAGGTGACTACAGTGGCATGTTTGCTGAACCATGGCCGAGTGACTAAGAACCATGCGTGATCCTTGCGACTGATGGCTTTCTGTTCAACTCCGCGGAAGCGACAGGCTTTGTGATTGCATCTGTATGTCGTGAGGATGAGCTTGTTAAATTTGGAAGAATGGTTGACACTGTTGCTTGGGGTTACGCACAGCAAGCTGTGCCACGGGCTGAAGCTGTCGCTCTTTGCAGGCGACAAAATCCAGGCACGACCTGGCAATTGCTGTCGATGCGAAAGCATGTTGTCAAACGCCTTCGTACACATGTTCCTGTTGTTCTCTTGGCTTGCAAGAATGCAGTCCGACGATCGCAGCATGAGCACGTTTTACTCACGAAGGTCAAAAGCCACCTCACCAGGGAGGTGTTTGCGGAACTGTTTGGCACCGGAAACCAAAAGGCTGATGCTCATGCCCTGCTGGGGCTGTTGCTTTGGTGCAAGATGGGCTTAGACCGGCTGCTACTGAGTTGGTGAGGGATTCCCCATTCCTCTCTCCGACCCTTTTCCGGACTCACCTTGCCGATGGAAGTGGCCGATGCTTTGGTGTAAAATGCGATTGAAACGGCTCGATTCCAATGCAGCTCTACAGCTGAAGATTGCCATACCTTGTGTGTGTCCGGGCGGGCAGATCAAGCCAGTGTGATAAGGATGGGTGCTCATCGCATGCTTTGTGAGCCGTGCCGTAGTAGGCAGAAACGAGTTCATCGCTGCGAGGGGGTTCAGAAAGAGATGCCACTGAGGAGGGCAGGCACCGACAACGTTTATGTTTGCAGCATTTGCCATTGGAAAAATCTAAATGTCTGCCTATTTTCGGAAATACGTATGCGAATTTCAATCCCCATGCAATGTACGCTCTATCCATCCTTGTATAGCTCTATCCATCCATCCATCCAACCATCCATGCATCCACCAATCTATGTTCCTTTTCTGCATTCTTGTACCACACTTGATGAGGATGCCACAAAGTGCGACGCTACTGCACAGATCCGTTTCCTTGCTTCAAGTCTTTCCTACACTCAGATCTTGTTACAAGGGAAACGCAGACAGACTCACAAGGCCGCAGCTACGCCCTGAAGAGCGTTCTTCGCCTGCTGGTGTCGTCCCAGACCTCGTTTTCAAGAGCCAATCGTGCTCAAGCAAAATCAATCTCTCTCGTACCAGACGCTGCGCTTCATGGTTCAAGAGAACGTCCGGCGAAGGCCCGTCTTATGGATTTCAAGTACGACGGGAATCCAAACCGTAGCCCAGGCCTGATCACTGAAACTGCCCGGTTTCAGCCTACAAGTAGGTAAATGTGTCACTACACTACAGCAAGGGCGCCATGATGCACCATGATGTGCCAGGCTCGCGCGGGCTCGCTTCCATTCACTGAGACGGGAGCCAGCAAAGCAAGTCGCAAGCGCAAAGCGCACCTGCAAGTAGCATGTCACAGCCGTAGAAGAGCCGACAGATGCCGACAGCCAATTTATACAGAAACACTACTTTGTCCCCAGCCTCTTTGATTGCATTCAGCTGTTCTCCTCCTTGTGGGGCATGTGGAGCTGCACGCCGCAGCACTTTTCTGAAACATTCCAGAGCCTCATCAGCAGTCGCTACAAAACAGAAAAGCGCAGTCACACTGACACAGTCTTTGCCATCTCCACAACAAGCCTGCTTCCAGTCACGCCGGCTGGCCCTGACACAAGCCTTTCCCATGAGAGCACGAGGAGACGACCTCAACAAGGCTCAAGCGCTACGAATGCGGGACGAGGAACCACTGCTGCATGCGAACATGCATGTTTTGGTTCTTAGCGCACGATCACTGTCAGCACCCGAAACAAATCCAGGACCGGAACCTTTTGAGCTTCAACGCAGCATCAAAAAGGTTTTCCTGGCGATGGTCGATGGGTGGCATAGGACAGCGAGCTGTGCCATCACAAGGGCGCACTGCTCGCACCAAGTAATTTCCAATCTCCGGTCGTTGAGCCTATGTCGAACATCTGTAGAGACTTTCAGACAACACGACCACCTTGGAGTGAAACTAAGCATGTTGCAAGGATGTGCCGTGCCAAGCATTGATACCCTTCCAAGGTGAGGAAGTCCTGCAACAACAGTGAATGCAATGCTCCAACTTTCTGTACTAGTGGTACTTTAGCGATTCAGTCCGGGTTCGTTGGCAAGGCACCACGTCTGCTCTGGGCCTCCGCAACCCCAAAGACGCCGCTTCAAGCTGGATGGTTGTGCCACATGCAAGCAGCAATTAAGCAGATTGTACCACTCAGGCTCTGCAGGAAATCAGCGACGGCTTACAAATGACTGCACGATCTGAAAGGACTTGAGAATGAATGCACCTTGTCTAGAAGAGATGTGGCACGCTGAAGGCATGCCTGCCGATGACACGTGCATGTGTCGTCTCTGCCAACTCACCCCTGTTAGCGAGAGGCCCAAATTCGACCAAACACAGTGCCTCAACCTCCTTGTCGAGAGCAGATGATCGGGCTGTTTTTGCCATCTTGGCACGCAGCGGGTTGCGAGTTGTGAGCTAAGCCGCATGTCACCAGTCGGTCGGGTCGGTACATCTATCGTCTTGGTGCTTTGTGATCTGCCGTGTCACGTATCATCGTCTCACGTTCGAAATCTGCCTATGCCGTGTGCTCCGGCGGATAATCTCAGGATGGCGATGGGGCCTTGGAAAAGATGAACAAAAACACCTCATCGCGAAGCTCAAACTATACGGTCCCGTGCAGGTGGGGGGACCAACGTATACTACTATGTTTAATGCTTATGTGTTGTGCGTTTAGGTAGTGACCAGGAGACTGAAAACGAGCTGAGCAAGAAGGGCAAGGCTTGACTGGTCGCCACGGACAGCCGAGCCTGCATCAGATCCATGCTACGTGGCAAGGGCAAATGATCGCCATAGCAGCCACACTGAGCTCTGGTGATTTTGCATGCTGCAACGTCAACATCAAGCTCATTGTAAATCCCAACAATGCAGCAAGATCCACTCTCGATTCTAGTGGCTTTGCATTTTGCAGTGTAGACTCTGTAGATCTCATTAAATAAAACTGGTATCGTCTCAATTCGATGCGGGCTTGCACAACCGATCATCAGCGTGAGGCGTGAGGGGCCGGTGACCGGTGCACAACGTTATGGTTATGACTATGAAAGTAAAACATGTCCAACAAGATGTGTTTGGTTGTACGGCGGCATCATGCAGGTTGGAGTTTGAGTCCATGCATTCAGCCGGGTTCAGCCGTGCACACGACTACTGGATGTGCGATGTGATGCAGTGATGCATGTTGGAGAGTTTGCGTGTTCAGCGGTGACCCCCCACACACACACACACACAGTCACAAGCACAACATTCCTTGCAGTTAGAATAAGGCATAAGGCTTCGGCAGGCAGTTTCTTGTTGTTCCGAAATACCGACGTTCACCTGGAGTCCCTGGAACATGTTTCGGGCACACCCCTGCACTTTGCATTGCACATATATAACATCAACATATAATATGCACTCACACACACACACACTTGTGGGATTACGCAAAGAAGAGGGGTGAGGCGGGGTTGCTGTTGGTTGTTTCACACAAGCGACGGCTACTGCAAGACTAATCTGGACACTGTCCTTGCTTATCTAATCTCGGCACCTCAGGGGGCTGCCGTGTCGATCTGCAGGTACGTGGTTCCCGCGTCGCGGAACCATATCAGCACACTCTGAAAAGCATCTTTGCCCACTCTTCAGGTGTGGGGCATCCCTTTGTGCTGTTAAAACCAATGTAGGAAGGACCCTCTTTTCCCATGTGCTCAGGAAGCTCACACACACACAGCCCCACAAATGTAAGGCAGGCTGGCAAAATTTGCTGATGCAATTTGTCCACATCTTGCTGCCTGCATACGTGCTTGATGTGACAAGGTAGTGGACAGCTACACGGTCGGTTTTTTCCATTGTGCTTGTTATGCCATTCAATACATGGCGGCGTTGTCGTGCTCCTATAGTATGTCTGGCCGGCTTTGTGGCAAACTGCACTGAATTACTGCGTCTACATTGGAGGCAAATAGAGTGCACTTGAGGGTACCGACTGGTGCGTCGTGACTGAGGTGTGTGCGTGTGTGTGCAACAGCTGTGAAACACCGTCAATCGAAAACCTCTGTAGTGCTCCGATGTGCAAAAATGTAGGTCGCAGGCCTCACGACAGCGACTCATATGAGTCCATGTTGTCTTCGTCTGATGGATCCCGACGTTTACGTTTTGCTGGATTGGAACGCGGACCACGGGCGACATGGATTTCTCCGATTGTTGTCGGGCTCATGTTTTCATCTTGCAAGTTGTAAGCTGTGCCCAAATGGTATGCCATACTTGGACCCATTGTCGGTTCTGTTGTGTCCAAAACCAGCGCCTGTCCTGATCCATAGCTGAAGTCGTGGTTGGGCCGAAAAAATAGCTGCGTACATGACGTGAGTCTTGGCACGAGGTGCGGCGTAGCAATCATGAAATGTTGTGCCTCTTGTCCGCCCAATAGTTCGAAGGCATGTTGCGTGCGTTTGTGTTTCCGCGGATTGTTGGCTGACTGTTCCCATTGTGTCATGTTCCGAAACTCGCAAGATTGATGACAAGAGAGCCGTGATGGAATTCTTTTTGGAGGACGGCTCGAAACATGAGGACAAGCAGGTTTCTATCAAGCCGGCATGGTTTCTGAGCATGGATCAAGACGGGAAGGAGCGGCAGCTTTTCGACCGACTCAGAGGATACCCTGCTTCGAAGCAGCCAATTATTGGCTTCGGAATCTAGAATCTAGTGAAAAAGACAGAGGAGCAAGGTTACAGTTTCTCCAATTCTCGGGGATCTTTTCTTCGAAATACCGAAGACGAAGCCCTTCAAGCACAGCCTTGAAAACAAGTGGACCGCAGTGGAAGAATCTGAGAAGCTGCTCCTGAAGACAGCGACTTGGCACTTCAGAGAAGACGGGTCTGTGGGTGTAATCGCTGAAGAGTTTTAGCGCGTATCAACATGTTCTCCCTGCTTTTCCTTGATTGCAAACTAAATATGGAGCAGGACTATGCATCATTCTAAGTCAGTTTGCTTCCAGAATCTGCCACACTCTGGCAGCTGAAGTAATTTGAAGTGGGTAGGCCCCAGACAGGCGACCTTGTTGACAAACGAGGCCGTGTCTGGTTTCGTGCACATGTACATGATGGCACGGGACATGCCAGAGGTCTGGGTGAGAGAACGGCCGGCTTGTGCCTTGACGGCCTTGTCGAAGAAAGGTTTTCTCAAATCAGCCGCGGAAAATTTGCTGTCGTTTCCGCTGGTCTGCTCGGTGCGCATTTTGCAAAATGCAGACGGCTTGGTGCTGGTGAAGGTGTCGAGCAGGACCTTGCAACAGGCCCGACAACCGCAAGCCATGAGATGTGGCCGTTCGAATCATGGCACGCTATCTGCATGAACTTCGAAGCTCTTCCTTGTGTCCGCTGCAAGAGCAGACTCCCGAGAGACTGAAGCATTGTGTGAAAGCGTGGGCTATCGTCCGATCGACGAAGCGCTCGCGGAGCACGTGAGAACCAACGGCTTGCACATCTGCACGGAGGTCGTCGAGGATGCCAGGCAGCCAGGCACGACCGGTTAAATAGAGAACAATCTCACTTAGTCTCAAGCAGAAAGATGTTGTACTAGTGTTCCGCATGTTTTTGAAAGGAAAGCAATACTCCGAGGGGCCGAGCAAATCTTCGCAATTATTGCGATGACTACCAACATTGCAGACGGCGAACTGACGCTTAGCGGAGTGCAGTTGTTGGGCCAGGATCTGCCTGATGTCAAAGGCTTTCTGCAGCATCAGATCTTCGTCTCCGCTGTCAAGCAGGGAAAGGAGTCCAAGCGCTCGGCGACCGAATCGCCTGCGGCTGCCACAAAGTGCAGAACGCTGGGAAAGTCGCCTACGGCAGGCAGCGTTGACAGCATTGAATCCGCAGAGCAGCTGCGAAAGAAACTTTTCCAGTGACGTAGAACTCCTACATCAGCAGCAGCTTAGAATCGGCCCATGTTTTTGATCTTCACAGGAAAACATATGCTGCTGTTTCGTGTACGTACCATGGATGTGAGTATAGTTGAGATCGCTGCTGCTAGCAGTTTTGATGAGACTCTCCTTTGCAGCTTACAGACTGTGCATTGCGGCAGCGAGCCTGGCACATCTCACTTTGCCTGAACGTGGCAGAACTTTGACTTGATAAACTCCGGTAACTTCTCTCTGCAGCAGACGTCCTGCAGCAAAGAGCAACAATAAGTACCAAGGCTTCCGGGTAACCAGTCTGCAATTTTGTGAGGATGCTGTGTTTCGTCCGAGTGGAACCTGTTCTCATTGCTTGTTAAAGTCTTCGGCCCGAGCTGAGAGTGCTGACATCTGGCAGCAACGTCATGGGAAAAGGAGGAATGGGAAAGGAAAAGGGATGTGGGGAGTGACTTCGAAGTCTGGCAACAGCTCCATCGAAGACACTGGCAAGCGCATAACAGGGCTGCTGTCTCACCCCCTCGCCCTCACGCCAACTGGGCTTTGCCAGGTGTCCGCCTACGCTGTAGGTGACATCGCTGGGAGCGCAGGCTGTCTGCTGTTTCGCTTGCCTGTACTTTGATGTCTATTAGCACCAAGCTGCCAAGGCTGAGTTATACATGACGAGTTAGGTCGGGATGTGCCAGGATCCTGTGTGCATCTTTCAACTCAGCAGGCCGGATCGTAATTCCTGGGGTGGTGGAGGATTTCACATTGGCTGGAACACGCCAAGCTTTTGAGCTTGAAATCACATTGCTTCGTCTTCGCTAGGCAAAATATCTGCGAAAGCTCACGGCGGCTGTTTGCGCGCTGCCACCGCCGAGTATGGCCCGCGTGATTGAGTTTCCGCTGGACATTTAAGTCGAAGCATTGAAGGAACACCTCCTTTTGCAGCGCTCATGTTCTGACAGAAAGACAACAGCAAGATCGCGTCCCACCGGCTGCGGGATTGGTGCTACGCAATGATGTCAGTGAGCTCGCTCACCTTCTGATGGAGCTTCGGTAGCGGATGCCTTTGGTAGGTCACAGCGTCGCTGCCTGGATACCCACATGCCATTTCCGCTGGAGCTGCCGGTAACCAAGGGCAGAGCAGCTGGCATGGGAGCTGCTGAAGGATGGCAATCCACTCTGGTGCACCGTTCGCTGCGCAGTAGCAGAGATCGGCTGGGACGTTGCTCGGCATGTTTTCCTGGCTGCTGGCTTGAACAATGTCACTTTGGGAGCATATGCATGCGGACCGCATGTGGGAATCTGCAAGCACACACGAGAGCATGGCTCTTTTTGCTGTTAGGTGAACAGGCTTGTCCCGCACGTATGTCCGGATCATGTCTGGACAACAGTCGCGCTGAATCGGAATGTCAGAATGCCACTTTCGGAATCGGGGCAATGCTGCCACAGGAAGTTTACTTTTAAGTTTCATTCATCATGATGAAGGCTCCGCGTGGCTGGAAGAAGCTTTATGGAGGGAGATCGAGCCGGAGATCCAGCTTTTCGCTGCGGCAGCCTCTACCGCATTACCCTGCAGGGGCTGTTGTTTCCGGCTCACTCCATGACGCACTGCAGCACCGGATGGAGCCTGACAGATCGTATCATGCTGACTGCTTATTATTGCATCAGCAACGCAAGACGTTTGACAGCGGAGCAGAGGGCTTTACTGGGAAGTTTGGATTTTGGGCTTCCGAAGTGACGGTGTTGTTTGCGCCTGTGTGTCGGTTTTGGTAGGGGTTGGGCATAAGGCTGGCGAGACTGCTGCACATACTCTATTTTGAAAGTAGTCCTCTCAGGCGGTACCAAGAAAGTGGGATGCATTTCTTGCCGTACGTGCTTCACCTTTCCTACGATTTCTGGAATCTCGCGAGACTTGGCCACTGTATCAAAAACATGTAATTCGACCTGCATTCAGAAGCTATGATTACCGCCTTCCACTCCACCCCACTCCACACCCCACTCCACTGCCGTTGCATTTATGGATGAGACGCCTTGCAAAACCGTGCCACTGTAATACGAACTCTAGACTGGCCCTGGAGCCAAGAGCATCTACCATGGCCAGCCATGCGGCGAGCTCCGCGCTCACCCCATATCCGGCAGAAGATGGAGTTTCGGCGGTGCCTCGACTACCCTTTGCAGAAGCGTCGACGCCTGGTCGAGGCAGTGACAACCTCGCCGCCTAACGGGCCCAGCGCAGAGGTCTTCGTGACAACCAAATGGGGTGTTCTCACTGATTACACCAGGTCTCCCGAGGAAACACAACTCAAACTCCCGGATGGGTCGGTGCACCAAGCCGCCACTGCTAAGAAGGACATCAACAGCAAAGGCGGCTTCTGCACGTACAACGTGCTGTGCCAGCGATGTCCGCGATGCGTGGTGACGTGGGCAAACCCGGGAGGACATTGTGCACATGGTCTGAAACAAGCGGGCTGGTCGGGCCCCTCAAAAGGAACCTGGAAAAAGTCCGTTTGTAAAGTCTGACGGCTAGACTCGATGGTAGCCGCACCGCAAACCGTGCCAGCTGCATCGGCTGCATCCGGGGTATGGCTCTCGGGCCTGCTGGACCGTGGATGAAGACCAGCGGCTTTTCCATGTGCCGCGAAGGTATGTTACAGAGGCACCCAACTGGGCTTCGTCCAGGTGTCTGTCTGCGAGAGAAAGGTTGAGCCTGCTGTAGGTGACATCGCAGGGACTGCAACTTGCCTGGTGCTTCGCTTGCCTCCACTTGATGTCTTTTGTGTTTTCTGCACATGCAACCTACTGAGGCTCGGTCATCGCTTCTCGGCTCAAGCTTGTCAACTTGGGAGGGGTAGTTCGTGCTATACCGCTTATAACGAGCGGGAACATAGGTAGCTCGGCAGATGTCATATCCTGATTCTGAGCTTAGGGAGCACTGTCTTCTCACTGCCAAACTACATCACCAGGTGCAACAGACGGCCATCGCCACAACCCTGGAGAGCTCTACATCCGTAGTGGGAGTAGAGGAGTTGGTTCTAGGATCTAGGCACGCCATCTTACGCGGGTTACGTGCTGTTTGGTAGGTTGGAAGGAGATCCGGTGAATTTTGTTGGGCTTCCCTAGAGTTAACGTCCAGATCTCCCCACTAGATGCAATCCATACCGGTTTCGGGGGAACTACCTGGAATGGAGCTCGCGAGTCCTGTAGAGCCTGTCACGGCGGAGGCAGGTCCCTGCAGAGCCTTCTGTAAGTTGGCTCAGATTCTGAACCCAAACCTCAAACGTATCATTGGAGACAACCTCCGGTTCCTCGCAGGTGAATAATATCACTGGTAAAATTGACCATTTGTGAATCTTGCGTCAACGTAATAATTCGACTAATGATGTATAATGGAGCTTCCCGGCTGGTCTGTGGTACAAAATGGTACAAAGGAGTCCTTCTTTGCCGTCCTCGGTCTTTACTGCCTGCACTGGAGGTGCCCTAGCAGTTGCGGGACCAGGTGCTACGCCTGGAGAGGAGGTAACCTCCGCACATTCGCTGCCCTGGCTATCGTTCGAGTGTTTCACAGAAGAGAACTTAGGACGTGAAGAAACAAAAGGCACAACTCAAGCAAATTGCGAGGATAGCGCAACCAAGTCAACCTCCGTGTATGATGGGGCTGCTAAGTCGCACCTTGAGCCTCCCCAAAACTCTAGGCCATAAAATCCTACAGCACATCTCTCAAACATGGTGCACCGAAGAAGAAAACTTAAACCAGGGAGCCTTTTGTCCTTTGCAAATTTAGGCATGCATTGGGAAGCATTTGCATATTGTAGAGACGCAAGGCTTCGTAAGCTCTTGCGCACAGCACGTCTTTGTACATACAGGTACATTGCAAACACATGCTCGCAAGTTCCTGCCGTGCCCGTGGCCTGCAGCTAGGCTGCAACTGACCACCGCAGCTGGCGCAAACTATGTACTCGAAGCAGGCTCATCGAGCTTCTGCACAGCGGCACCACTGGCTGTGCACGTCTAGGTCACCGCATGTGCGTTGGGTAGCCGGCTGGCCTCGCTCCACCGAGCTGCTTGCACAAAAGCCGAAGAGGCAGAACTAGAAGAAAGTACACCAAACACCGCGAGTCTAGACCCGAATTTGCCAATGTGTATCAATGCATCAGAATCATAAACATCTACTCTCCCACGCCCAGCCCAAGTTTCATTGCAGCCAAGCTTCGCCGGGTGCGACTGGAAGGGTGGTGGCCCTGCAAAAACTTAGGAGTTTCGAGGGATGTGGGGGGAAGTTTGGATCTGCTGCTGACAGCGCAGAGAAATGGCTTCTTGTGCTACGCCGTTGTAAGCCACGTAGAAGTAGCGCCCCTGCTCATCTCAGACGTGTCTTTATGACATTGGCTTCAAAAAACGGGGAATACTCGTTTCGGAGCTGCTACCTCGTAACACAACAGTCTGAACCAGCTCCGCCTTCATTTGGAGGTCTGGCAAACGTACAAGTGCCTTGCGAGTCCGAGTATGCTGCACTCTTGCAGCTTTACCATGAATCTCATCTCTCTTCGTCCAATCTTCCGGTGGAGTTCGACTATCTGGGATTGCTCAACAACAGTTGTTGACATCGACTCGTCCTGAACGCAGAATCTTGGATCCAAAAGCCTTCAAGCGTGTTGTCTACACGGCTGGTCACTGTGCGAATATCGCAGCACTCCAGGAAGGTCGGGAGCCAGTACAAGGCGCCTGAAGCTACAGCCTGCTAAGAAGACATATAGGCCAGGCATAGTCTAGATATGTATATTCTGGCTGTGTTTAGCATGACGGCCTAGCTGTACGTCTTCGCTACAAAATGCGAAAAGATGATGCTGCCTGCACACAAGCCTTCGATAGAGCCTGGCATCCTCAGACACGCTTGCGTCCTCTTGCTTCCATATCGTACCCAGGCAGGTGCCTTGCGGCATTTGCTGCTGCGGCAGCGCAGGCTGCGATTGCGTGTGGCCTGTCGAGCTCACAAAAAAACCTCCGCA